GGACTGGAAGACTGCTCTTCAATTACACACTGAAACCAAACGTGAAGTAGAGAGAAATTGCAAGTAACTTTAACAAATAAGCAGAAGTAATGCATTATATTAAGCGGAATTTTGATTTAGAAAACCTATAGTACCTTGTCAATTTTTTTTAATTTTTTACAGTGTACTTGATATAAAACCCCCATATTTAACATCTATATCAGATGAACATTTTAACATAGGAAAATAAAGGTCAACTGGGTACTAACGCAATATGATTAAAATGAGCTTAGCTCTTCTTAGCTCTGCTATTCTACATTTCACGTGCAAACTGAAAACAGCATTTCTTCTGCGTAAATGAATGCAGATGTTAAAGTGTAAAAAGAAACGGTTGTGCTCACCTCATGGGGTTTATGTGGGAGTCGGGCTGGGGTGTTTTCTGGGTTTTTGGGGCTTTCTGGGCGTCCGGGTCACTTCATCCACGCAGATGTGCGAGCGTTTGCTTTGACACGACGAGTCTGACGCAAACAGAAAAACACACATGTATCATCCCACATGGGTTACAAATCTAAATACTGACATTTAAGAAACAAATCCTGAAAATCTCATCTATCTACCAATCTGAATGTTTTATTGTACGTTTAGAGTATTTCAAATCAAATGCAACTATGTTGCAATGTTTCTTTTATTTGTAAAGCACACATTTTGCACATGAAAGTGCATATGAGTTTATAACATTGCATCTACATTTATTACATCCAATCAAACTTTGGGCATAACAAAGTTACTTCAAAATGCAATTGCACACAGATAGATATTACAAAAATGAAAATTCATATATACAGGCTAAGCAGATATGTGACCCTGGAGCACAAAAGCAGTGTTAAGTCGCTGGGGTATATTTGCAGCAACAGCCAAAAATACATTGTATGGGTCAAAATTAAAAATTTTCTTTTATGCCAAAAATCATTAGGATATTAAGTAAAGATCATGTTCCATGAAGATATGTAAATTTCCTATCATAAATATATCAAAACTCAATTTTTGATTAGTAATATGCATAGCTAAGAACTTCATTTGAACAACTTTAAAGATGATTTTCTTAAATTTTTGCATTCTCAGATTTTCATATAGTTGTATCTCAGCCAAATATTGCTCCAAACCATACTTCAACGGAAAGCTTATTTATTCAGCTTTCAGATGATGCAAAAAATCTCAATTACAAAAAAAAAAAGCGACTGGTTTTGTGGTCACATATGATTTTCAATATACTGGAAAAAGCTAGCAGCTACCTGAAGTTCGTGCTAGATTCATGAGATAATTCCGCACATACCGAGACAGGAGCTTCTTTTCCGCTGCTCTCGGTCTTTTTCGGGCGTCTCCGCGCTCTGCTCCGTTACCCGACAGTCGTGATTGCCGTTAACATCCACTTTATTGTCGTTATTATTCCCAGAGGAGCACGTGTGGAGATCGGAGCCCTTGCCCCGCTCAGACCTGCTGTAGAAACCGGGCACCGAGCGCACGTCCAGCGCGTCCCACCGGTACCTGCCGTCGGTGCGCGGCGTGTGCGTGGAGAAGTCGAAGCTCCACGCGTCAGACGACGCGTCCTCCATCGCCTTCAGCTGCCGCTGGAAGTCTTTCTTTAGCTCTTCGTGATCCACCGGACCGAACAGGTTCCGACACGCCGACGGCTTGGGCTGGTCTGACGGTCGCGCCTCCATCCGCTCCAGCGTCGGGCTGCCGCTAGACAAGCGCACGTTGGACATTTTAAGGCGTTCAAGTCGAAAACACAAACCCAGCAGCTGCTACAGAGCGTCCCCTCCTGCGTTAACGCGATCCAAAGCGACGGGCGTAAATGCAAACTCGCCGCATGAGCGAAAAACACAGACGCGCGACGATCATCAAAACAAAAGCAGCGCTCGCGACGGCCGCTCCTGTCAACTGCGCGTCGTAGTAAAATAGGGGAAGAGAAATAACAAGGCGAGGCTTTACGGCACCCAATATGGCGATGAAAAAAACGCGTGATTGACACAAAGAGCTCTTTAAACGACGAGAGGAACGCCGCGGATTGGTGCATCGGAGATCCGCCTTCTCTCAGCGCACACCCTCCCCACACTCAGACCCAGAGAACGAAAATGAACAAAAACACCCTCGACGAGCCTCCGAGTACTGACTGGAACGAGTCGATTCCTTCGAATGGATCATTTTCGAATCGGTTCACTAAATGATCCGTCTCACTCAAGGTAATTGGTGGCACGGAAATGATCCGTATGGACGCCTATTCAGTATTATAAAAGTCATTTCTTGTTTAATACAAATAATCTGAGCACATCAGCTATCATTAGTAAGATTAAATAAGATTACAGGTTTAAGCTAAATTTCTTCAGCACCAAATAAAAATGACTTTAACACAATATGGTTTATAAAATATGACACTTATGCAGATGTTCGGATCATTTTCGAATCGGTTCACTAAATGATCCGTCTCACTCAAGGTAATTGGTGGCACGGAAATGATCCGTATGGACGCCTATTCAGTATTATAAAAGTCATTTCTTGTTTAATACAAATAATCTGAGCACATCAGCTATCACATTAGCAAGATTAAATAAGATTAAAGATTTAAGATACATTTCTTCAGCACCAAATAAAAATGACTTTAACACAATATGGTTTATAAAATATGACACTTATGCAGATGTTAAAAAAAGAATAGAAAAATGACTTAGGATATCAGTACATTCATTTCGTACCACTGAACAGTTTGTACAGCGGCACATTAGCGACCACAGAACGAGTTTATTTGTTTAGCGCTGCTAATGTTGTTACGTTTTCGAATAAATCAATTAAAAAAAAAACTAGTTTTCAGTTGTATTTTCATGTATGTGCTCCATGTTGACTAAATGTGTGTTTTTTGTTTTTTTTTTGCTGGCTCAAAAAACTTAATATGTAGATTTCATAAGGTTTTCCTACACAGGCGAGTGATTCACATCGGTTCGACTGAATCATTTATAAGATTCACTTCAAATGAACGATTCATTCGCGAATGTTGAATGTCAAGCTCTGAAACAAGAACAATGGAATCTTGTGCAAATGCTAAACATTCGCTGTAAACCCGAACCTAAAAGCTTGTAGAACAACTTTATCAGGAAAAATGTGTGATTGTTCTAAATATTGTGCAAGAAATCACATGAGAATATATGATTTTCTGCTTAAAAACCTTTGCAAAAAATGATGGCCAATGAGTGAATACATAAGGAAAGACAGAACTTAAGTCTAGTTCCTTGACAAAATAGTTTTAAATAAATAGTTTAAGACTAGACTGTATCTAAGAGTTATTAACAGTGTGGTCATGGCCTAACAATTGAATATTGATGGTTCCTCAGTATTGTTCTAGGAGAATAAATCCATGTTCAAACCTTAGTAAATCTAAAAGTTATCAATAAAACAAGTTTTATAACCTTCACAAGTCTAACACTTCCTATGTGATGAAACAGACGATTCATAAACTAAGATATGCATTTAAGATTTCATTACCTGTAATGTGTTAGTCTCTAGTATCTGAAGATGATGATTAAACTTGACACTCAAATGTGGAAGTACAACAAGAGATTCACTAGAAGTTTCATTTGTTCCTAGAAGTGAGAAGCTGGAGTTGCCTAAACATTTCCAGGAACAGCACTGCCCCGCTCAGACCTCGCAATAGTCCTGAGAAGAACTGCGACTCACACTTGAGTCTGTACGAGTTCACGTGGGCGTCACAAACCTGCCGTTTCCACAAGTGTCTTCAGCTTTCTAAACGGACAACGGTTTACACACGGTAGCTGTTTGCCAGTATCTCTTCTCCGGTCAACACACCAAACTTTTGTCAGTTTCAGAAAGCTCAATACAAACTTACACGATTTTTTACCTAAACTTAAAGCTATAAAGGTTTGACGGGTCTTTTAGGCACTCAAAGGCTGTTTAATAATGCTTGTTTGTACCACAGATCACCTTTGTGGAAGCTCATTTCTGCCAGAGAAAATTTTGTTTAAAAATTTTCAACTCATGATTTGGAGTGTTTCTCCAAAACTCAAAATTGTGTGATATAAACAGAATTTTTAAAAAAATCTCGAAATTCTATTTTTTCTACCCCCCTCAAAATTCTATTTTTCCTATTTTCCCCTCGAAATTAATTTTTTTTTCTATTTTCCCCCTCGAAATTCAATTTTTTTCTATTTCCCCCCTCGAAATTCTATTTTTCCTATTTCCACCCTCGAAATTCTATTTTTTCCCTATCCCCCTCAAAATTCTATTTTCCCTATCCCCCCTCGAAATTCTATTTTTCCTATTTTCCCCCTCGAAATTCAATTTTTTTTCTATTTCCCCCCTCAAAATTCTATTTGTCCTATTTTCCCCTCAAAATTCTATTTTTTCTATTACCCACTCAAAATTCTGTTTTTCCTATCCCCCCCCTCGAAATTCTATTTCCCCCCTATTTCCCCCCTCGAAATTCTATTTTTTTAAATCTATTTTCCCCCTCGAAATTCTATTTTTTTTTTCTGTTTCCGCCACAGAATAAAAGATAAAAAAAAGGTTAATTGCAATTGCAAATTTTTTCCCCTCACAAAACTTATAACTTAGCAAGTTTATAACTTGTAATTCTGACTATTTCTAGAAATTCTGAGAAAAAAGGCAGAATTGTGAGAAACAAAAATCTGAATTGCGAGATGTAAACATAAAAAAAGTTGCAATTACCTTTTTTATCCCGTGGTAAAAAAAAAACAAACAAAACAGAATTACAAGATATAAACTCAGAATTGTGACGAAAAAAAAAAAGTCAGAATTTATATCTTGCAATTCTGTTAATATCACACAATTCTGAGAATTGTGAGAAACACACTCCACATTGTGAGATAAAAAGTTGCAACAGAAATGGGTTTCCACTCCTAGTATTTCTGTGAAAGAAATACATTTATGCTCTTATTTAGCTTTCTAAAATGCTTTAATTTGGTATTTATTTCATTTTCTTGATCGTACAACACATTTGCGGTTTTTAAAATGCGCTTTGCTTGAACTTCAACTGTATAAATTAAATCATATTTAATTTCCTTTATGTATACCATCCTATTGCTTCACACACTCATGTCATTTTCTCCTCAGAAGCCAAACTGGGGAAAATTTCACGTAATATACTTAATTAAAGAGTTGAACGGAACCCAGTTTTCCAGTGTGATTTAAAATCAGGAGCGTATTCACACATCAAACCGTGCAATTTGTCCAAATAAAACAGGCACACACAAGGCAAAGTCTGTTCTCACGTCTTTGATATAATCCACAGACTTTCACATGGGGGTTTCTCAACAGCACAATTCAACTCAACATATAATTTCAAAGTCTTTGAGAAGCTGGAGCAGACAGAGCACAGGTTACTGTCCTGAAACTAAACAGACCTCTACTGACCTCTGCTGGCGAGCGCTGGGATTTTCCACAGTTTGTTTTGAAGGCAAAAATGCATTTTAAAGAGTCTGGGATGGTGGTCGGTTTGTCTATGGAACAGAAATGTGTATCTCCAAGTTGGCAATTCACATACTAAGCCACTTCAGGATGTAAAAGTTCCTCTTTCCCACTCGGATCAGGCTGAGTCCGTTAGAGAGAACGTGCTGACCCAGAACCAGAACTTGCTCGGGGTTTGCTGTCCTCTGGTGGTTGATCCAAACACCACCGTCCTTGATCATCTGATACCTGCTCATAAAGGAACAGTGAAAATAAACCAGTAAATAACAAAGGCGTCAATGCATTTTAAAATTAAATAAGGTATCAAAAACCATTCCTTCATTTGTTTGTCTTAATTGACTGAGCCGGTTTTAAATAAAGTGATACAAAGGCTGAACACAAAGTAACAGTGGAACTAAACGTGTGGAGAGTGTGTTACGTTTAAATCAAACATTCCGAAACACTACTGGTAAGATTCCCGCTGTGACGGCGTCTCACCCGCGTGGTCCCTCAGGAATGGCTTGTGCTCTCCTGCAGGCGTCCAACACTGTCGTTCCTGGATCCAGGAAAATCTCATGGAACGGAGCCTCTCGGAAAAGCTCCTGGAGTTCAGTGTCACTCATCTGCTCCAGAGCCTCAATATTACTGTGGTACAGCGCATTGGTGCACCTGTGTGACAGATGGATGGAAAGACAGATCCATCTTTAATTTGAATTTATTATCATGCATCTAGATTTAATGGCATATACAGTGCATCCGGAAAGTATTCACAGCGCTTCACTTTTTCCACATTTTGTTATGTTACAGCCTTATTCCAAAATGGATTAAATTCATTATTTTTCCTCAAAATTCTACAAACAATACCCCATGATGACAATGTGATAGAAGTTTGTTTGAAATCTTTGCAAATTTAGTAAAAATAATAATAACACTGTGTGCGTGTGTGTGTATGGATTTTAACATAATATTAATATAAGATAAGATTTAATTGTATTTATTATTTGTAATTTGATTATTATTAAATCAAATACAATTTAAGTCAATAAAGGAAATAATACTTCAATAATACTATTGAACTTTAAAATATTTAATAATAATGATTTTATTTTATATAATAATAATCATACTTAAATATTTAAATAGTACTTATATAAAATATTAATACTAGAATAATAATAATTATTATTAATATTATTATTACTATATAAACAAAAAACATTTTGCCAGTGGCCAGTGACAAAAGGAAAATTATCAACCATAAATATTTTTTAAACCAGCCACGAAACTGTATGTGCATTATTTCATTTAAAAAAACAACAACAAAAACAGGCAGAACAAATTTGGGAAAAATCTAATAGCAATTATTGTTGTTATTATTAATATTTTTTATGATTATTATTTAATCAAATAATAAAAATGAAATCAATAAAGGAAATATCACAACTCTATTAAACTGTAAAGTATTTTATAAAGTATTTTATTTGATAATTGCACCAAACCTTATGGCATTGCTACAATTAATAGAAAAGTTGCTAGAATTTTATATACTCGCCAACACTGATTTTCACTCACAACTGGCACTTGGTGAGTGTTCATTTTATGCTCTGTATACATATCAGTAAATAAGAAATGCAGAAAATCCCCAAATGCTTATGTGCAAAGCTTGGCGCATCATACCCAAGAAGACTTGAGACTGTAATCCCTGCCAAAGGTGCTTCACGTAAGTTAAGTACTGGGTTATGGGTATGAATACTAGGCTCAATTTTGATTTCATGCTGTTGACTTCACAAGCGTAAATCAGAAACGGAGTATCTTGCCTTTTGGCGCTTTCGAAGCCCTCTTTCCCGTGGACCAGCTTGGTGACTTCAGCGGCCAGGCGTTTGTGGGCGATGGGTTTGCCCGGATCCTGCTTCTGCTGCTCCATCACCTTCTCCACCTCAGCCAGAGACAGGAAGGTGAAGAGCTTCAGGTACCTGGACGGAGAAAAGGGCTTCTAAATAGGCATTATTTTGAATAATAATTATTTTTAACCACAAAGTTTGGGATTAAGAAGATTAACTTTTATTCAGCAAGGATGTATTAAATTGATCAAAAGTGACAATACATACATTTGTAATGTTCTAAAAGATTTCCATTTCAAATAAATGCAGTTTTTTTGACAATCCTCATAAGGCTGCGGGTCTCTCGGTTGGTTGTGCATCTTTTTCTTTGTGCATTATTTCATTTAAAAAAACAACAACAAAAACAGGCAGAACAAATTTGGGAAAAATCTAATAGCAATTATTGTTGTTATTATTAATATTTTTTATGATTATTATTTAATCAAATAATAAAAATGAAATCAATAAAGGAAATATCACAACTCTATTAAACTGTAAAGTATTTTATAAAGTATTTTATTTGATAATTGCACCAAACCTTATGGCATTGCTACAATTAATAGAAAAGTTGCTAGAATTTTATATACTCGCCAACACTGATTTTCACTCACAACTGGCACTTGGTGAGTGTTCATTTTATGCTCTGTATACATATCAGTAAATAAGAAATGCAGAAAATCCCCAAATGCTTATGTGCAAAGCTTGGCGCATCATACCCAAGAAGACTTGAGACTGTAATCCCTGCCAAAGGTGCTTCACGTAAGTTAAGTACTGGGTTATGGGTATGAATACTAGGCTCAATTTTGATTTCATGCTGTTGACTTCACAAGCGTAAATCAGAAACGGAGTATCTTGCCTTTTGGCGCTTTCGAAGCCCTCTTTCCCGTGGACCAGCTTGGTGACTTCAGCGGCCAGGCGTTTGTGGGCGATGCGTTTGCCCGGATCCTGCTTCTGCTGCTCCATCACCTTCTCCACCTCAGCCAGAGACAGGAAGGTGAAGAGCTTCAGGTACCTGGACGGAGAAAAGGGCTTCTAAATAGGCATTATTTTGAATAATAATTATTTTTAACCACAAAGTTTGGGATTAAGAAGATTAACTTTTATTCAGCAAGGATGTATTAAATTGATCAAAAGTGACATTACATACATTTGTAATGTTCTAAAAGATTTCCATTTCAAATAAATGCAGTTTTTTTGACAATCCTCATAAGGCTGCGGGTCTCTCGGTTGGTTGTGCATCTTTTTCTTCCACACTTTTTCCTTCCACTCAACTTTCTGTTAACATGCTTGGATACAGCACTCTGTGAACAGCCAGCTTCTTTGGCAATGAATGTTTGTGGCTTACCCTCCTTGTGAAGGGTGTCAATGATTGTCTTCTGGACAACTGTCAGATCAGCAGTCTTCCCCATGATTGTGTAGCCTAGTGAACCAAACTGAGAGACCATTTTGAAGGCTCAGGAAACCTTTGCAGGTGTTTTGAGTTGATTAGCTGATTGGCATGTCACCATATTCTAATTTGTTGAGATAGTGAATTGGTGGGTTTTTGTTAAATGTGAGCCACAATCATCACAATTAAAAGAACCAAAGACTTAAACTACTTCAGTCTGTGTGCATTGAATTTATTTAATACACGAGTTTCACAATTTGAGTTGAATTACTGAAATAAATGAACTTCTCCACCACATTCTAATTTATTGAGATGCACCTGTACATGCAACATGAGCAGTTTTTAATCTAAACTAGATTGTATAGTTTCGAAGTTTGAAGCAAAAACAGAATGGTTTGACTTCAGTTTCGTGAAACTATGCATAAAAAATATCTGCATGAAACCGAAACAGCAGACGAGCTGAATGAGACGCAGATTCACTCTCTGCCAGCAGGTGGCGCTTAAAGCGTTTTCTTGGTTTCCGCTGTAAACAAAGCAGCGCTGCACTTATGAACTTTAATATGCATTATACAGAAGCAAGAGGAAAAGAAAAAATACCATCGAAAGACAGTAAGTTCCCCTCAGACATGCATTCATATAAACTCTTACCCCTAAATGAATCGCGATTTGTTTAGCATCTCAACCGATTTGAATCCTCACATATTTGAATCGATTTTCAACCGGCTCGCGGTTAATCGTTACACCCCTAATAATGATACTGAAAATTCAACTTTGATCACAGGAATAAATTACACTTTACAATACATTCACATAGAAAATAGTTACTTTGAATTGTAATAATATTTCACAATTTTTACAGTATTTTTTAACACCCATGTTGCGTATGCCGTCACGCTCTGAGGTTGGTAACTCACCCCTCTACGCTCTTATCTGGCAAGCGGAGGAAGTACTGGTAGAAGTCGAAGGGCGATGTTTTATCTCTGTTCAGCCACACAGCGTTTCCGGCCGTCTTCCCCAGTTTATCGCCCATCGAGGTGGTGACGAGTGGAACCGTGAGTCCATACACTTCCTCGCCCGTCTTCCTGCACAAGAGCCGTTATTGTTAACAACTTCTAAAATCCCATTCATTAACTGAAATAAAACTGAAATATAAATAATAGGTGGAAAAACGTGAACATTAAAAAACGTAAATTAAAAAAAATGTTGGTTTGGCAGCAATTAGAAATAAAAAGTTCAAGTTGAAATATTAAAACGACAAACTAAAACTGAAAGAAAAATGGCAAACAAAAACGAATAAAACGGCAAAAGCACATAAAAGTACAAAAACCTAAACTAAACCTAATTCAAAATTAATTAAAATCGAAATATTAATAAATACTAGTTATCTTAGTATTACTATAATAACAGTGGCACAAGAGCACACTCCTATAGAGACACACACATATGAAGCTATAATACATTCTGAAATATTGTTTGCACAAATAAAAATAATTAATTTTTAATGCCGCACTGACTTACCTTCATAAAATATAGTTAAATTAGAATTACTATAAATCCCAAACGTGCCACTAAACTCCTTTATTAGCATTTTAAGTTTAGTGATTTAGTGCCAATACTGGAATCATATAATATCAGGTCTTATTTGAACTATTTTCATAAACATTTTCACTATAGTGCCATGCTTAAAACGTGCAATTTCTGTACTGTACTTGTACTTCACATTTTTGTCCTGTATTTACACCCAGTCCTTCGTGGTGTTTTCATGGTACATGTCTGAAAATATGCCACTTAATGTATATACACTACTGCTCAAACGTTTGGGATCAGTGCGATTCTTTATGTATTTTTAAGCAGTCTCTCTTGCTCAGCAGGGCTGCATTTATTTGATCACAAATACAGTATAAATGTGAAATGTTATTAAGAGAAAACTGTTTTTTTTCCTCTCTTTGAATTGTTAAAATGTAATTTATTCCTGTGATCAAAGCTGTATTTCCAGCATCATTCCTCCAGTCTTCAGTGTCACACGATCCTTCAGAAATCAGTATAATATGCTGATTTGCTGCTCAAGAAACATTTCTGATTATCATCAATGTTGAAGAGTTCAGCAGCCAAAATTTGTGTGGAACCCATTATACATTTTTCAGAATTTGATGAACAATATTTAATATTTTTTTTATATTATATTAATATATGTAATATTAATAATATATATTTAATATTTTAATACAGACATATTTAACACACACACACACACACATATATATATATATATATATATATATAGATTACTTACAAACTGTAATCTGTTGCTGATTCCAAATTACACGACTAAAAATGTAGTTAGTAACATAATCCATTACATTTCAGGTGATTTAATCGGACTATTTGTTGATTACTTTTGACCTAACTTGTTCATCACATTTATTTAAACAGAGGAATAAGGGAGCCCTATTTGAACAAGCTCTGTGATCGATTGGTTCTGTCTTTCAATGAGCAAGAGAAATAGTTCTAACCTACACAATTATTCACCAGCACAGTCTATTTGCCCACATTTAGAAGCTTATTTTATGCACCGAATAACTTGCAAGATAAATACAATTAATGGTTAAAAATGCACTTTAGATTAGACACTTAGAATCGATATTTTTACGCGAGGATCGATCCCTAGAGGTGCTTATAATGCAAGAACGCCACGGTGTGCAACCTGTGTACGAGCTCGTGTCCGCTCATGATGTTCCCCAGCTGATCAGCTCCGCCCAGCTGGAGCCTGCAGCCGTGCAGCTGGTGCAGACGGTAGAAATCAAACGCCTGGAAGATCTGGTAGGAGAACTCGGTGAAGCTCATGCCCTCCGCGCCCTTGAGCCGAGACTGAACGCTGTGGCGGCTGAGCATCGTTCCCATCCGAAAACTCCTGCCGACCTCCGAGAGGAACTCCAGCACGCTCCAGTCCTTGTACCAGCTGCGGTTATTGAGCACCGTGAGCCGGCCTAGCCTACTCGAGTCCGGGCAGAAGTACAGCTCGTGGTGGGTGAAGATCCGGTGGAGGCTCTCCAGAATCCCGCGGGAGTTCTGCTCCACCGCAGCCGGCGAGAGGCGCTCTCTCTCGGCAGACCTCCCGCTCGGATCCCCGATCTGCGCCGTGGCTCCGCCGAGCAGCGCGATGATGTCGTGCCCCGCGGCTCTGAAGTGCAGCAGGCCGATGATGGCGAGCAGGTTCCCGGCGTGCAGGCTGTCCGCGGTCGGGTCGAAGCCGCAGTAGACGGTCTGCGGAGCGGACTGGAGCAGATCCGGAAGTTCCGCTTGCGCCGCGTGCTCCGGGAACGACTCCTTCAGGAGGCCTCGGTTATGCAGGGATAAGAGCAGCCCGCTTCTGCTAGATGGAGAACAATGGAAGGAGGTTTTTAGGTAAGATGTTTTTCTCAATATGACTCGTGAATGAACTCGACAGCATGACCGCGCAATGGACGCAGCCATGTTTGAACGGACGCTCTCGCCAGCTAGTGGACAGATGTGGGAGTGTAGAAATAGAAATGAGTAGAATGGCATTTTTTTTTACATATTGTAACGATACTGTTAGAAAAGGACACGCGTGCGAAATGCACTGAAAAAGCTGAATTCAAAAACAAAATATATGTACAGTGGTGGCCAAAATTATTAGAACACTATATTTTCACCAGCTAAACAAATGGGTTTGAAGCATAGACTGTATTAAAAACCGGGTTAAAGGCACAATATGTAAGTTTTCGCCGCTAGAGGGCGCGTATTCAAAACAAACAAAGAGACAAAGGCGTTGCAGTGACTGAGTGTGGAATCATGGGAGTTGGCGTGTTCATCCCCAAAGCTGATGCAGTCCGATGGGATTGGTAGAAATCATGTTTATGGATGAGCTAATGTATTGAATATTTATTAGCGTGGTAGTATGAAGCAGGGTGAGGCTGAAAGCCGTCGAAGCGAAACGAGCGTGACACACGGCTTGAAAGCAGCGGAGCTTTTATTATGCCACAGTCGAGCGCTTCCGCTGCTTCCGGTCGTGCGTATGTGGGGTAAAGCAGCGGAGCTTTTATTATGCCACAGTCGAGCGCTTCCGCTGCTTCCGGTCGTGCGTATGTGGGGTAAAGCAGCGGAGCTTTTATTATGCCACAGTCGAGCGCTTCCGCTGCTTCCGGTCGTGCGTATGTGGGGTAAAGCAGCGGAGCTTTTATTATGCCACAGTCGAGCGCTTCCGCTGCTTCCGGTCGTGCGTATGTGGGGTAAAGCAGCGGAGCTTTTATTATGCCACAGTCGAGCGCTTCCGCTGCTTCCGGTCGTGCGTATGTGGGGTAAAGCAGCGGAGCTTTTATTATGCCACAGTCGAGCGCTTCCGCTGCTTCCGGTCGTGCGTATGTGGGGTAAAGCAGCGGAGCTTTTATTATGCCACAGTCGAGCGCTTCCGCTGCTTCCGGTCGTGCGTATGTGGGGTAAAGCAGCGGAGCTTTTATTATGCCACAGTCGAGCGCTTCCGCTGCTTCCGGTCGTGCGTATGTGGGGTAAAGCAGCGGAGCTTTTATTATGCCACAGTCGAGCGCTTCCGCTGCTTCCGGTCGTGTGTATGTGGGGTAAAGCAGCGCTGTTTTATCATACTAGATACATTTGAACGTTCTGTTATAATGCTACTCTGTGCGGTCGTCACCGGTCTATTAAAACACACAACATATTAAAGCGTCTTTGGTGTTTCCATGTTTTCTACAAAACAAAACCGGAAATCGAGGGTGCATGACGTCATTGGCAGGCGACAATAACCAGGGACCAGCCACTATTTAAAATAGCTCTTCGAAATATTTGGGATAATGTAAGTACACAAGTCAGCAAAATATAACTGTTCTAATGATTGATATTTTAATAAAAAAACGTACATATTGTGCCTTTAAGTCAGTTATTTCTATTTTTTGCTGTAGTGTGTCAGTAGGAAATATCAGTTTACATTTCCAAACATTCATTTCGCCATTGATTGTAATAATGCAGTGAGATTTTTGTCTGACAGCAGCCAGTGCTCCACACAGAGATCTGATCTGATCATCATCAGTCTGTCTGGAAGGACATGAAGAAACAGAACAAACTGAGACCGACTCAATCCAGAAGAACTGTGGAGACGTCTCAGAGATGCTTCAAGAAACCTAGCTGCAAAGCTACAGTACTGATAAAAGTTTTGATGCTGATGCGGTCAAAAATAATGTAAAAAATAGATTTTCTTTATCAGTTAACTTCTATGAACTAGATTAAATCTACATTTGGTGTGAGCATCCTTTTGCCCTCGGTGCACTTGCTCATAGTTTCTCAGGTAGCTTTGCAGGTAGGTCTCTTGAAGCATCTCTGAGACGTCTCCACAGTTCTTCTGGATTGAGTCTGTCTCAGTTTGTTCTGTTTCTTCATGTCACTCCAGACAGACTGATGATGATTTTCTGAAGACATTAATTACAAGCAACAGGACAAAAAACTACAGTAGAGCAAATAAGAAATGCTATGCTACATACATTGTATAGAGTAATCAAATGTATAAAAATGCTGCATATGTAAATTAAATATATATTTCTTCTTATTAAAGTTACAAAAGTGATTTAGTCAAGAGCAGTGAGATATTTTCTCTCTTTTGTTGTTTGATTAACATGATCGTCAGACAGCAGGGATATTAGACTGCTGTCACTTTAAGAGCTACCCGGATCCAATATACTGTTACACATGTGTTTTCTTTCTCAGCTGTTTGCTTTCATTTAAGACCTAAATTACTGTGTTTAAGAGGATACTTGCAAAAATGGGCATTTTGACACATAAAAGTGTGTTTAACCGTTCAAGTCCTAAAAAACAGCAAAAATAACTCAATACTCGTTCATATAACGTCCAATACTCTATGAGCACTGTCTTCAGGTGTGCGCGCCTCTCTGACAGCGCTCAGAAACAGTCTTACAGACAGCACACACATATAGCTAAATTAGTTCTCTTTCACTGCTGATTGTGTTTCAATGGCTAAAAATCACTTAATACAGTTATCTTCAAGGTGGTATCTTTATTTCAGTGCACCTTGATATGGCGACGCCCATCATCCGTCTTCAAAACCCCACTGCTCCAGAGGATCGTCAACAGGCCCTATTGGTGGCGACGAATGAGTCCTGTGCCTACAGAGATAGACAGAAGACTTTTCCTGTCCCCCCTGCACAGCTGCTGAATGAGTCCACTGCCCTAGACCATGCTGAAAGGGCACTTCATGCTGAAGGGATCCCTGCGCCATCACGACCGCAGTGCCTGGGGAAGCTGGTCCTGCCCTTTGGCCAGTATCTCAATGCCCCGTTTCACTGGCTTGTGGCAAACGATGTGGGCTACATGAAGTAGTAAGCATATTCAACTTACAAAGTTTTTATTTATGCTTAAAAAGATGCTGATAGCAAATAATCTCTCTCTCACTCTATTTATTTATTTATTTATGTATGTAAGTCCATGGCTGTTATCACTGTGTAGCCTGTTAACTTTTTGTCTTTGCAAAGTTTCAATCTTAATTTTGCAATTGATGCATGTAATTGCAGTTTGGTTGACAAGCACAGAGAAGAACTCTCTAACAAACCTGGAAAGGAGAAGATCCAACATCACTGGATAAAAGACTACCTGGCAGAGTACGCAGATAGCTTTCCACAAGTCTCAGTTGTCCTGGAGGCCAATGTCCACCAATCCATTTATGGACAGAAAGGGTTCAAGTACCATACCTTTCAGGAGATGTGGGAGCTCTACAGCCAGTATTCTGCCCAGAAGGACAGGCCAGAGGATTTTAGTATGATCCAAAAAGCGTACAGCTCTGTAAGCCAGTGGCTACACACGCCTGTGACCCATATCGCCAGCGTGCAGATGAAAAGGTTTAGGAAGTACATTTATGACAAGAAAGATCAAGTGAGTTGTGTGATGCACAAACCGTCTTACCACAACTTTAAATGAATGTTTACAATTACCATTTCAGCATATTACTTTCATGATAAAACAAAATAGTTAATCAGAATGTTCTGAATTATGTTTGTTACAAAGATGTCAAGCTCTTCCATCAGTGACACCTCGTGGCTGGATGACACTCTCTTATTAGAAGTGATCAAAGCAGAGTCCACAGCTTCCACAGCATCATCCACGGCCATCGACACGCCGGCATCCTCATCCACGGCCATCGACACGCCGGCATCCTCATCCACGGCCATCGACACGCCGGCATCCTCATCCACGGCCATCGACACGCCGGCATCCTCATCCACGGCCATCGACACGCCGGCATCCTCATCCACGGCCATCGACACGCCGGCATCCTCATCCACGGCCATCGACACGCCGGCATCCTCATCCACGGCCATCGACACTTCCGCATCCTCATCCACGGCCATCTACACGCTGGCGTCCTCACCCGCGGCCATCGCCACGCCGGCATCCTCATCCACGGCCATCGACACTTCCGCATCCTCATCCACGGCCATCTACACGCTGGCGTCTTCATCCACGGCCATCGGCACGCCGGCATCCTCATCCACGGCCATCGACACGCCGGCATCCTCATCCACGGCCATCGACACGCCGGCATCCTCATCCACGGCCATCGACACATCCGCATTCTCATCCACGGCCATGAACACCTCCGCATCCTCATCCACGGCCATCTACACGCCGGCGTCTTCATCCACGGCCATCTACACGCCGGCATCCTCATTCACGGCCATCTACACGCCGGCGTCTTCATCCACGGCCATCTACACATCCGCATTCTCATCCACGGCCATCTACACGCCAGCAGCATCAGCCACATACACACAGGCATTAAATAAGTCCTCATCCACATCCATAAGTCACGTTTCCTCTGCAGAACCATGTGACTCCCCAGTGAGTAATATTAACATACGCAAATGTATTAACCATAAATGATTATAATTGGAATTAAATGATGCTTATGTATTATTTTGTAATTATGTTTTCTGTTTTGACATGTTTCAGGTCGAGCTGGAGGGTTGGGTGCGACTGTGGGAAAATCCCAACGGCATCCCACCAGCTGACCTCTCCTGGGTGAAGGACGACCTCGAGCGAGGACTCTTTGGCCCCATTCAGGTGTATCGTGACAACACCGGTGTATTGAAGAGGAGTCGAGCACTAAAATCTGACCGGATGTGGTTTTACCCTCCAGAACCTCCAGGCTACATTAGTGGTCCCCTGCCAACTCTGCATCTCTTTTTTCGAAGTCGCGTCTTTGTGTGGCAGCCTGTTGGAGTATGGAAATACTTACTGAAGTGTCCTCGGGGTGCAGAATGTGTGGGTCAAGGAAAGGCTGTGTACCTCTACAAGTCAGGCTACCACACCAGGGTATTATATATTTTTTTATTAGATTTGTTAATAGTACAGTTCCTTGCAACGCAACAATTTAATGATTTGTTTTTATGCAAGTACACCTACAGATTAAATCAAACAATACACTGCTGTTTTAATAGCATATTAAATATTAATAAATGTTTTTTGATATTGCAGGTTTGTCACATTTGTGATGTATCCAGCTGGTATTGTATGCTGACGGAGGTCCTGTGCTGTGGCCAGTGCACCAAAGCAGCCAGGGGTAGTGGCAGTGGCAAGGTGGGGCATTGGTTGGCATGGGATCCTGCTATCCTGTGCCAACTCAGTGAGGCTCACCAAGCCATGTTCCCAGCTGTCCTCACAGACACGTGAGTACACTGAACATTGGTGTAAATCTAACATGACTTGAATTAGTTGCACTAGCCACTGTCGTACAGGGGGCCAAGAGAGCTCAATGCGCTGCAAATGAAAGAAAAAAAAACATGCAAATTAAGAAACATCTTCATCAATTTGACAACACGTGCTGCAAATACTCACAGTGGGACAAAATACAGAAATGCGCTGCAAATACTCACAACACAATTAAATACAGAAATGTGTTGCAAATACTCACAACCAAATACAAAAACGCACTGCAACTACTCACAAACCAGTGTTGGGCAAGTTACTCTGAAAATGTAATCAAATTACTGATTACTCCTTTTAAACAGTAAGTAAATACTGTTAAAAAGTAATTAGTAATTAGTTACATTACTAGTTACGTTACTTTTTTCTCCATGAAATTTATGAAATCCCAGCATACACGCTCCCGAAAATTATTTGTTATTAAAGCATCAACATTCACAGAACACTGTTATTTTTAACTAAAGCAAGCGGCTGCTGCGTGCATGGTTTGGCATGGCAGAATGCCAGCAAAGAGCGCTGCATTTATAATCTCTAAAAGACATCTCAGTTCATTGCAATCTCACAAATCTGTCATAACACAATAAATATATGCATAATGAATCTACAATTCGTGTGTTTTAATGAGAGGATTCGTGAGCATGCAAATTTCAGCACTGCATATTGCACTGCAATAGATGAATAACAATTTATTTGTTTTAGATATTTTATGTTTAGATATTTCTATTTTGCAGGAGTCCCGTGAATCATTTTATTCTCCCGTATCCCGCGCGCACACACGAGTGTCTACCCGCCCGCAGCAGCACTCGCCCATCTTCTCCCACGCCGCACTCTGTTGCGTCGGGTCTCGCGGGACCAGGTCTCTAATCCACTGGCACTTGACTCGACAGTGCGTGTGCTACATACTTTTTGCAATCTCTAGATTATAAAACACTGCATTCTGTCAGCAATGTAACGCGGCAGTAACGTATAGAGCCCTGTAACTATTCTCTAATTACTATTTTGAAAATTATAACGCGTTAAATTACTCCATACATTAAAAAATTTATCAAATTACAGTAACGCGTTACTAAGTAACACTGCTCACAACACAACCAAATACAGAAACGCGCTGCAAATACTCACAACACAACCAAATACAGAAACGCGCTGCAAATACTCACAACACAACCAAATACAGAAACGCGCTGCAAATACTCACAACCAAATACAGA